CGACCAACCCCAGTCCCCAATTGAGTCGGATAATCGATGCTCTACTGTACTCAATTCATAGATTTGTGCACATATATTTGTTTAATGTCCATATGGGTATGTTATTTTTAGCTATAATATTACATTGCAGTCCATTTAAAAACAATGCGACTTGAGGCAGTCTTGTTTGCCATTCTAGATTAACAATTCAAATAATTGTTTTTGAAAATTTTTTCACATATACTGTATATTTCCGCAGATAAGACAACAGTTGAATCATAAAAAAAAGGCCCCCAAAATCCAGGGTCATCTTATAGGACAGATACAAAAAAAATTAGATTGAAATTTATATAAATTAAAACCATTATAATAAAATGGACAAACTATAATTATTTACTAGTAGAGAGTAGGGTATGTCCACAAAATAGAATAGCCCTATACAATACAAACAGTATTTAATATTGTTATTTTCTGCATGTAAAAATTTAAGCATCTTTTAATTTGTGAAGTATATTTATGGTTTTTAAGTTATTACTAATAGAATTCTAATATTTAATAGCCTTCCTTATACTGTAAATAGCTGATAGTGCCAGTGGTGAGTTTATATAAAGGTAATAATCATATTTTCTTGAGGTACAGTTAGTTGATCTACATGGTTTATCAAAAGACTCAGTCAATAATAACTATAACAGGGGAGGAACAAGTCATAATGCCAGGAATTTCAATGAGCTTTAACTTTGTTAATGCATATTGAAAATAATCCGAGTTTCAGTATTTTGCCCAATGGACTTTAGTTTTCAAGATTTTAATGTTTAAAATTTGAACTATCAGCATACAAGTTACCAGAGAAAGGTAGATTGAACCAATTATAAGATGATTTGAGACCTCTGTAATAAATTCTCTAGCATGATAGATCTCGCATATAGAAATGTTTTATGTGCAACAACCCATCGTGTAGGAGCTATGTCACAAGATAGGGCAGGTAGCTCCTAAATACAATAATGAAAGGAAATAATGACATGAAATATGTATTTATTGTTAGAAAGTATGCTTGCAGACATTGTTTTTTAAAGACATTAATGCAGTCAAGCAAATATTGTGGGTATTGTTTGCATGGAAACTATTGTTGTTAGATGCAGAGAGCTTCTTGACTTTTCTCCTAGCCTTCCTATAACACATTATCATTTCAGGGAGCTCAGTTGAATCGTAAAGTTCATCCTTGACTACTTGCCCAAGCAAACTATATGATGTAATGCAAAAAAATCTGTAGTGCCATATTTACTGTGCATGATATGCTTTTGGCAGGGGTGCATTTGTTAATAGCAGTCACTCTGCTACTATTGGAGTGTGCTACTGTTCATTTGCATTTAGTAACAACAGTGAAAGAAAGAAAAAGATGGGGGTGCATGTACTATTGATAGTATCATGATAGAGAGATCTATGATTTAAAATCTGTTTTTAAAGAAAAAAGAAGGGTCTCAATTGTAAAATTTAACCATAAAATGGATTATCTTGCCAAATGAGCATTCAAAATAGACACAAAAGAATTAGAATGCTGGTTACCATTCAAAAAAATTTGACATGACACATCACCATGTGCATTAACATGTACTTTCAGAACTTTTAAATTTTTATTTGTAAAACCACATAATGGACATTGAAATGAAACTGTCTGAGTCATGGAGGATGTCATGTTGCATTCCACTGTAAACTACTACTACTATTTTTGCTGTCCAGTGGCTCATGCACTGGCTAGAATATAGAAATATGTTTTGCAGAAATTTTTAAATGGATGCTGCTCACACGGAATTAGGTGAAGGAATAAAATAACTCATCCCATGTGTCATGTAATTCCTAAATGATGCACCAGGAAATGTGGGTTGCTGCACATAAAATATTCTCCTCTGTGAGATCTAGTGTGTTGTGGAGATCTAAAATCATCCTGTATATAGAATTTATACATTATTTATTTGTTCCTTTTGCAAATGTATTGAAACTGGATTCAAGTATTTGCATATACTCAGACAAAATGATTAGCAACTTGTAGCCAGTGTATTTTAATTTAAGAAGTCGAGCACATTTTCCCAAAACTGTAATTCTGTATGTAATTTTCTATTCAATACAAATAATATATAATTATTTTATCAAACTTTATTAATTTGAGGAATTAAGATCGTAATAATTCAAATGAATTGAGCCACTGCTGTAGTTGAACTTTATTTCAACAGATCCAGTAAAGTGTCTACAGAAATTCCCAAATATCTTGCATGATCTGCTCTAATTATACTTTCATTAGATTGATAATCTTACATAAACAATGTCAGTCACTTTTATTTTTACTTTTAAATAATAAATAACTGCACTTGTTTGTGTTGATTCTGTAATTATTTGCATTTATATACTGTAGTTGTATAAAGTCTGTAGTACATCATTTATCTTTGTTTGCCAATTGTTAATGTCTGGGTCAGTGTAAGTAATTACAATATCAGTGTACATTATCATGCCATCTTCTGGAATTATTGAGGATAAACTATTTACATATATATTTTATAGCAATAGTTCAAGAGCAAATCTCTGTGGTATGAGGATTTGCTCTTGGACTTTTGATACGGTAGTTTCTATTACGCAAACATAACATTAACTAACTTATTGAATTAGCTTGGTGAACAACCAGATAGATAGAAGCTTTGGTGCTAATGTAGCAACACTGTCATATCTATTTGTGTGAATGATATTACTAATATACAGGGTACATGAAAAGTTCTGTCAATTTTATTTTTGTGCATTTTTTGCAATTGTCATTGCATTTTTTGTTATTTTTTATGATTTTATTGGATTACACATGCAATTTTGATCAAGAAAGTGCTCTAATCATTTTTTTATTTTTAGTTGTGCTAACGTTATGTCTCGTGAAAATGAACATATCATTGTTGTTGAGTTACACAAGTTGGGAATGAAAACAGCTGACATTGTTTGCGTGACTGGTTTCCAACAGAGGACTGTCTACAGCAGCATTTCTCAAAGTGGGCAATAATGCCCCCTTGTGGGCAATGAATAAATCTAGGGGACACTGGAGGCAAGGTATTGAACGGTGACCGAAGGCAAAATTGGGGTCACTGAAAGCCATTCCCTTTCCTCTGTTAAAATGATAAGAGGAAACATTGCGTTTAATGGTTTCCAGATGTTGAGAACAACATATGGTAAGGGCACAAAGTGTGAGATTCATAGAAAAGTTTTCCTAAGAATATTTCCAATCCTTTCTCTCACAAGAGAAAATGGGTTAGGGGGCATTGGGTATAACTTTATGGAACAAAGGGGACAGTGGATTGAAAAAGTTTGGGAATTACTGGTCTACAGGATTGTGAAATGTTTCAAGGAGACTGGGGGGACTGTGGACTATCCTCAGAGCGGTCATCCAACCACTTCGACCACTCTGGAGAACATCAACAAGGTGCGATGCTGGATTTGTCACAATCCAGAGGTGTCCATGCGCAAAACGGTCAAGGAGCTCCAAATCAGCGAGGAGTGAGTCCATAATATCCTCAAGGGGAAGCTGGGACTTTGCAGCTACAAGATCGCCCGTGTCCACTTCTTAAATGAAGCAATGAAGGTGAAGAGGCTCGAGAAAGCTCACCGAATGTGTCAGCTGGTCGGCGCTGGTCTCTTGAACAAGGTGCTCTTCACTGACAAGAAGATTTTCACCCTCGAGCTGCTTCAAAACTGCCAAAACCATCGACAGCTGCTCAAGAAGGGTCAACAGAAGACTGCTGCTGCAAAAACCATTGGTTGCAGCCATTTTCCAGCCTCAATCATGGTGTGGGCTGGCATCTGCACCACTGGGAAGATGCCACTGGTCTTCATCGAGTGGAACGTCAAGATCAACACCGCCATCTACCAGCACAGGTCCTACTTGACATATTGGAGCTGTGGGTGTCGCAGCACTTCAGCCCAGAAGGATTCATGCTTCAGCAAGACTGGGCACTGGCGTATTTGGCCCAATCAACAATTACCGTCTGTGAAGAGCTGTTTCTGGGCTTTTGGGGCAAAGACATTTGGTCGCCTAACTCACCAGATCTTAACCTGCTGGACTACTCGATGTGGTCGATCCTGGAGCAAAAAATCTCGGGAACACGATACACCACCATGGACCAGCTGAAAGCAGCATTGGTGCGCATGCCTGGGACGAAATTTCGGTGGAAGAATGCGTGACCATTGTTGGAACTTTTCGCAAGCGACTACGTAAATGCATTGAAGCCCCAGAAGGCAATTTTGAGCATTTGTTGTAAATTTTTTTGCTTATTGTTATTTGTTAAATAAAACTTATTGTTTGTTTAGTTTTGTGAATTTATTTATTTGTACAGTATTTTTATACTGTTGAAGTATTTCAAAAAATTGACAGAACTTTTCATGTGCCCTGTATTTATACATGAATTTATAGGAAAAACCTTCTTAATCATTATATATTGAGAATATTACTTATGATGCTTACACAGAATCATTCTGAAATAATACTAACAAAAGATAATTTCAGGACATCATTTATTACATTTTCAATATTTCTCTCTGCATATTTCTTTCATTATTGCTATTTTATTTCTAAATTTGTCTTTATTGTGGTGATTTTATTATATAAAATTGTACATCGTTTTGAACTGACATATAAGTTACCTTTGTACTTGGGACTGGTGCTCCATTATAATGTCACTTTCTAAATCTCTAACAAAAAGGAACCCCAAATATATTTAGAAAAGCATACAAGAATCTTTGAAAATGATCTAGAATTAGAAAGTTACAAAATTAATGGGAATTTGGAGAGATTACATTTGAGAATTAGAAATTTTATTTTAAAATGTTCAGTTTGTGATAAGTCTTTTAAAAAATTCAGAAAAGAACTTAGGTCTGGAGAATCTACTGGACTTTTTAATTGAAGAAAATATTCTTTTGGTTTCAAACATATAAGTGTAAAGAACAATAACATTAATTTTGATAAAATATATACTAAATTTGTGAATTTTTTACAGCTTCCGGATAATTTCGACGGTTATGATCTTGACGCCTTCTGTATTCCTCAACATTATCAGAATAGTCTGTCTTCCGTTCTCATACCCTGTGGTCTCATACAAGATCGGTACGTATGATATTTTTATTCTCAATTTCTGTATTTTTTAAAACAAAGTTTTATTTTTCAGTATCGAACGATTAGCTCGAGACATAGCGGTCGATATCAAAGGAGAACCCTTCACGGCATTGTGCGTTTTGAAAGGGGGATACAAATTCTTTGCTGACCTCATGGACAAAATCAAGCAGTATGTTAGATATATGGAATGCAAGACTGTTCCGATATCGGTTGATTTTATTAGATTGAAAAGTTATCAGGTATAGCAATTTAATTAATTTTTATAATTAAAAAATTTCAGTGAAATAATGATATATTGATAATATTTTAACAATAATTTTAATGTATTAAAACAAGACCAAGATCTATCATTACGTAATCCAAATTGCTATTTCATTTTTCTTTCAACTTGCAAAAAGCACTTCCTTACCAGAAGTTGCATATTACAAGCATAATATGTATGTTTTAAATCTGGGTTTTCATAATTTCCATAATAATTAAAATTAATAAATTTCAAAAAAATTTTTCTTTAAAAAAAAATTCTTTAAGAATACAAATGAAATTCACTTTTTTGAATCCGATTTCGATAGAATTAAAAACACAGATGGACTAGAAACTTATTTACTATTTCTCACTTTATTTTTCCTTTTTCTTCCAAATATATTTTGCTTATCAGCCTCATCAGTGGATATTACAGTTTTACATTGTCGATACTTTTATACTCTATCAAGCTATCCCAGCATGCATCAACACATGCGCCAGTATTTAAATTAATACAATTTACATGTCCTTTGATACAATAATGTTCGATAACACTTCTTTTTACAAGATTTTTTACTTTGTACAATATTTTAATATTATTTCGGTCAATAATACATTTTGTTATATTGCAGTGTTGTTGCCATGGAGATTCAGTTCTGTTTAGTTGGATTGCCGCCTCATGTTCTTTCAGTCTCACTTCAAGTTTTCTTCCTGTTTCTCCAATATAATATTTATGTTCTGTACATGTACACATCAATCTATATATGACTCCTGCTACTTCTAAAGGATTCTTTGATTATTTCTCATTTAATTTGTTAATGAAACAGATANTTTTTATAATTAAAAAATTTCAGTGAAATAATGATATATTGATAATATTTTAACAATAATTTTAATGTATTAAAACAAGACCAAGATCTATCATTACGTAATCCAAATTGCTATTTCATTTTTCTTTCAACTTGCAAAAAGCACTTCCTTACCAGAAGTTGCATATTACAAGCATAATATGTATGTTTTAAATCTGGGTTTTCATAATTTCCATAATAATTAAAATTAATAAATTTCAAAAAAATTTTTCTTTAAAAAAAAATTCTTTAAGAATACAAATGAAATTCACTTTTTTGAATCCGATTTCGATAGAATTAAAAACACAGATGGACTAGAAACTTATTTACTATTTCTCACTTTATTTTTTCTTTTTCTTCCAAATATATTTTGCTTATCAGCCTCATCAGTGGATATTACAGTTTTACATTGTCGATACTTTTATACTCTATCAAGCTATCCCAGCATGCATCAACACATGCGCCAGTATTTAAATTAATACAATTTACATGTCCTTTGATACAATAATGTTCGATAACACTTCTTTTTACAAGATTTTTTACTTTGTACAATATTTTAATATTATTTCGGTCAATAATACATTTTGTTATATTGCAGTGTTGTTGCCATGGAGATTCAGTTCTGTTTAGTTGGATTGCCGCCTCATGTTCTTTCAGTCTCACTTCAAGTTTTCTTCCTGTTTCTCCAATATAATATTTATGTTCTGTACATGTACACATCAATCTATATATGACTCCTGCTACTTCTAAAGGATTCTTTGATTATTTCTCATTTAATTTGTTAATGAAACAGATAATCTTGTTTAATTTATTTCTTTGTTCACCTACTAAATTGACAAAAAATAATTTTTTAATATAATTTTTATATTTTTCATAAAATTTTGAAATATATGGAATTTTAATATATAAATTTTCTATTTTTTTATCTTTGACATTATATCTATTATTAATATAAGTATTATACCACTCAGTGGTGATATTCAGCGGGTTCGCACAGGTTCGGCTGAACCCGTTGTTAACATTTTCAAAGTTTTCCGAACCTTGTTAAACACATGTAACATTTCTCATTGGTTTTGTTTCTTTTAAAAAATATATTAAAATATATGTATTATACTCTGTAACACTGCTAAACTAGAGCCTTATACCCCGTTCGCCTTGGTGCGACCTCCCTCGACCGTTTCAATCTTGACTGAAACGAGGTTCAATCGCAATCGACTCGGGAGTTCTTGAAACTGGATCCAGTCATAAGAGAAATCCCATAATCCCATGCGCGCGAGAAAATACAAGATTGCTACGGAACACGTGTTGGGCTATCGACAGTGAAATAAAAAAGATATTGTATTTCAAGAGACGATGACATCTGTCTATTATTAGATATATTTCAAGAAAAGGTATTGTATTTATTTCTAACCAAAACTTCCATTTTGTTTGTTGGTGTTCGTGACTTACCGCGTACTTATGTCAGTTTTATCATCGCGTGTAATATATATCTTTTTTTTATTTATATGGGTATCTTAAGGTTGCCCCAGAGAAGGCAACGGGAAACCACTCTGGGTACTAACTTTCCCTAGTAACGCCTTGGCGTATTTACTAACTACTTACTAATCTGCGCCGGGTGTGGCCGAGGTCGGGAAAATCCTGATATGGTACTATGAGATGAGATCTTAAGGTCAGTTTTTGTGCTAATGTTGCTAATGCACCATTTGAGCGAAAAAAAATTGTTAAGGAAAAATTTTCTGTTAGTGAACCCTTTGTTAAATGTTTCGAATATCACCACAGATACCACTTATACATAAGCTGTTGTGGATAATCATTTAATAAATATTTTTTAAAAAGGTTCTTAGTCTCTGTTTCAATATATTTTTTAAATGTTGTTCTATTAAATATTTTCCTTAATTCCATCAAAAATACATTTTGTTTTATTCCTATAGGGCAATATGATTTATGACTAACACCTTACTATTATTACACATTTTTTCGTACTTATGAAACAGCAATGTTTCATATTGTCTTGTAATTGTGACATCTAAGTAATTAATTTCATTGTTTCTTTCTTCTTCATAAGTAAACTTAATGTTATTATTTAAACTATTTGCATAAATCTTGATGTTTTCAGCTGTGGTGTCATTTGAGTCATACAAAATTAATATATCATTCACATATCTAGTATAAAAAACAATACCTTGAAAGTGGAAGATTTTTTCATCCAATGATGCTATGCAAATATCTGCAAGTTTTGGGCTGACCACTGATCCCATTGCTATCCCGTCTCTTTGACGATAATGTTCTGTAGAAATTTTAAAATAATTATTTTTAAAAGTAAACTGTATAAATTCTAAAATGTGACAAGGTAAATTATATTTACTTAAACTTTTTATAATAAAGTTCCAGTTTATTGATGGATACATAGATTTTTACATCCAAACTTAAGAATCTATAAGATTTCTTACTTTGACCGGACATTAATCTTGAGATTAATTGATCTGCATTTTTTATGGTGTATTTAGAGTCAGGTATACATTGCAAATAATTTTTTATATAATGTTCCAAATTATATAGTACTGAGTATTTAAAATCCACTAATGGTCTAAAAATCTGTCCCACCTTGTGGATTTTTAGTCTAATATTAAGTTGTGGGATACGTACATTATTAAAATTTACTATATTCCTAAATTCTTGACTTGTAAACTTTTTTCTATATGTTTTCATTAATTTAATTAATTTCTTCTGTTGGATCACTGGGTAAAATTTTGTATTCATCCGTAGCTACTATTTGTTTTTTCTTTTGCTGTAAGTCTGAATTTTTAATAATTATAATCACATGAGATTTATCTGCTTTAATAATAGAAATTTGTTTATTTTTAAAAAACTTAATTAATCTATTTGTTTTTCCAGTTACTTTAATTGCATTTTTATCTAATATATAATCTCTGTATGCACTTTTTCCTTTATATTTTTGAAGATCTCTAATTAAATTTTTCCTTATCTGATTTTTATCTTCTTGTTTTCCTGAGATTCGTTGAATAATGCTCTCCATTTCGGCCACAACTTCAATTTTGTTTTTGTAAATATAGGTAATTTCATATTGCTTCCATATGATAATAAACGTAGATAATCTTTTGGTACTTTAACTTCTGTTAAATTTATAATTAATTTCTTTAACCATTCTTCTTTCTCTGCAGTTAAGGGGTAATCAAATTTTTTATTTAATTTAATATTCTTTTTGATATTATACTGGTTATTTCTATTAATATTATTTTTATCAATATCATTATTTCCAGTATTATTATTTCTCCTTTTTAATTTAAATTTTTTAGACAGTAAAAATATTTGTTTACCTTTTTTCTTTATTACTGATTTTATAATTAGTCTCTCTATTTTGATTATATCTCCATACCGATGCTGGACTTAATATTTTTATTATTTATTTCCATAATAATTTTTACACGTATTTCTGGGATAAAACTGTTGTATCCAGAGGTGCACAGGAAGTAGCATCGTGTATTCTGAAACATTTAAAGATCTTAGAAATGAAAAATATAACTTACAGCAATACGTGTGCAGGACAAACTAGGAATATAAAATTAGCTTTAACATGATTAGAAGTTGTCCTATCTGCTGAACATAATGTAGGTGTCATTAATTGTAAGTTTCTGTTATTAGGGCATTCATTTCTACCAAAGGATATAGATTTTGCAGTTGTAGAAATTGCATTAATAAAAACTAATTTATTGCCTAACCTCCAGGTTTATTCATCATCATCATCACACTTTCTTCAGTGATGGATGGAGTCTTCCACAACTTTCTTTTCCTCCCTATTTCGCGTTTTCTATCCTGAGATATAAGCTGACGGTAGGTCCTAAATTGTGAGGTATCCCTGTTTCCCCCCTTCTCCTCCTTTTTCCCCTTGGTCTCCTATTACAAAGCCATAAGTATAGAAAAAGTAAAAACTTTATTTTGAATTAAATGAAATCCTCTTATTTCATTAGAGGATGCAGTTTTTAAAAGGTTAAAAGGATTTTATGATTTTGAAAGTGGCTTAAGTCCATTTATGGCCAACAAAAACATGTTATTTTTTAAATAATGTTTATTATACTGATTGGTTAAGTAAATTAAACACTTTTAGAAACACAAAAACATAATACCATCATGTTATCAGTTACCAATGTTTTTAAATTAATTAAAATGCAAGCCCTTAAATATCTTGATTTAAAGATAAATTGACTTAGGCCACTTTCAAAATAAACAGCTCATATAATTAAAATATTGATTAAAAACTTACATACGAATACAGGGTTTTCCAAAAAGGAATTCTGTTGTTTTAAATTTTAAATTACTGCAAGTTTGTTCATTATTTGTTCATTATTATCCAAGAAGTTTGCAATGTACATCAGTTGATAGTTGCCATTCAAGCTTTTTCTTCCGTCTGCATTCAAATGTATTCAATGAAATAACCAACAATTGCCTGAGAGATCGGGCTAGAATTTGTCTAATTAAATGATTATTATAGAGCAATTTGACACTAGAGGGAGGTATTAGGTGCCATCTCTTGATTAAATTAATAATTATAATTTTAATAATAAATTTAGAACCTTCTGGAATAAAAGAACTGTCCCGGATGGCGCAACAGACAAGCAAAGGTTGCAGGTTCAAGCCCCGTCCTGGGTCAATTCTTTTATTCCAAAAGATTCTAAATTTATTTAATAAATTATTAAAATTATAATTATTAATTTAATCAAGAGATGACTCCTGATGCCTCCCTCTAGTGTCAAATTCCTCTATAATAATCATTTCATTTGACAAATTCTAGCCCGATCTCTCAATCATTGGTTATTTCATTAGATACTCATCAGGCTACTAAGATGTTTATTATATATTCAAATGTATTGTTTATTGTCTCTAGAAAGCCCCATAAACAAAAATGTTGGTTCCTCAACAGAGGTGATTTGTGTTCTGCAGTCCATAAACTTAGAATCAGTTGTTATTTTGCAACAAGAATGTTTATCTTACATGACGGATCACTATGAAATTGTCTGAAAATGACAATTTCAAAGTAGTCCAGTGGACTGACAGCAATTTTGTGAACTACAGAACACAAAAACAACTTCTCTGTTGTGAAGTTGACCCCCTTTTCTTACAGTGCTGCTTAGAGGCAGCAGACAAAAACATGTTTGTATGAAGATGGTAGATGAAACTTAGACATTTACTCTATTGATTAGCATGCAGTGCATACTTCTCGGCTGACAATTTACATAATTACAGTAGTTTAAAATGGTTGCATTCTTTTTGGAAGACTGTATAATTTGTTTAAAAAATCAAACTTTTATAAAGTTAATAATGAAAAGTTTATAATGAAGTTTAAGTACTTCATTATAAATGTCTCATTTGATATTCATTGTTAAAGTATTTAATTATAGACATAAAATCATTATGTGTAAAGGAAATAATCGAAATTACTTATTGTAACATTGTCACAATGCCAGGCTGCAATTTTTAATCATATTTTGATGTAAATAAAAATTTTGAAGTGAAATCAGGTGACCTCTGGTCCAGACTGAAAGTTTATATATAGTTAATCGGGGTCATTGGCCTCTAAGCTGTCCGTGTCTTGATTTTAATCTATCTAGCTCCGTTCTTGAGGTTGATGAAGGACAGAAAGATGACAGTGGTAACATATGGGTCTGCAATTTGAAAATTGTAGCCCTATAATAACAACCTTTGAATAGTAACTGCAGCTGTTGTTCAAATAAAACAAACATCGTGTACAAAGATAAAAGTCACAATAAAAATAGTTAAAGTGCGATATTTAATTTTGCTTTTTGTATTCAAAACTTAAGTATGAAATATTACACGCAAGCTTCCTTGTACTGTACACAGGCAAGTTCTTGATAAATATTAACAGATAAGCGATACTTTTGGTAAACTTTGTTAGGGTGCTGTTAATGTACGTATCAACATGTTTAAAGTGAATTTCTTGAATCACTTATGTAATATTTACTTAATATATATTATCTAAATCAACATTTACTTGTGTATATAATATATGATAATTACATTTAAAGCTATTTGTATATTAGACATAGATAAGTTGTAATTTGTGGTAAAGCTTAGTGTTTAATTACTTCAGATAATAGTTTTGTGTAGAGTTTTGAGAATGTTTTTATAATTATTTACTATAGTTGTTAAAATGAAATTGTAACTATATTTAATTTTACATTTCTAAAATGGACTGCCGGCACAAGTGCTTAGTGCATCTACGCCATAAAATTAAAACATTTTAGGATAAATTTTACATTATTATTTATACTGAAACTCTCCAGAGTTTGACATCTTTTGCCATTATTTATATTGATAGTAAATTATATCGTAAACTTAAATATTTAACAGAAATTTGTAATTTATATACACAGGGTTCCTACGCACCTGGAAAGTCAGGGAAAATCAGGGAAAGTCAGGGATTTTCATTATTTTTTGAAAAAGTCAGGGAAAGTCAGGGAATTTGTCAAAAATTATCAAAAAGTCAGGGAATTTGTCGAAAATTGTCAAACAGTCAGGGAATTTGTCTCCTTAACTGCGTTGTTGATTTGGTTTGCTGAATATAGATGACCAATCATAGCCATACGCNAATTTAGTGAACGATTCTTCGACGGGTGAAATTTCGGTGATTGGATTAGAAAGTTTAGAAAGTTTAAGAGGAAAGGTTTGTTGATTTGAAATTTATAGTTAACAAAAATAATCAAACATCACTCAAAATATCAGAAATTAATTACTCTTAAAACAAACTTACATTTTTTAAATAAAATTTACATTTATATTTTTAAGTATAGATTTGCATTGAAATTTTATTGTATTTTATAATCAGCCAAAATATTAAACTTTATAAAAAATATTTAAATTATCTTCATAAAAATTAAATAATTTGTAAGTAGATGATGGGTTAAAATACAGAAAGGTCTTTAGAAAACATCAAAGTTTGAATAAAATGAATGATGCTCGGTCGTAAAATATAGTAACAATTTAATAATAGTGATAATAATAAATTATATAATGGAAATTATGCCAAAAGTCTATGGAAAAACAAACAAATCTAATGATCTTAGTATATCAAAAGAATTATTTCTGCTAGAAAAAATAAAATACTTCAAAGTTTTTGTCAGCTGTGGAAAGCTAACAAAAAATCAACATTGTTTGTATCTTATTTTTTTCAAAATTCAGAAATCCCTCAATGTCTGCACTTTTGGGAAATATGAATATGTAATTTTATTATAATTTGAAATTGAAGAATATACAACGTTATATATTACAAAACAATTTGACCCTAGAGAGGCGTTAGGTGCCATCTCGTAATAAATCTAATAATTATAATTTTTAATTAAACAATTTAGATTAAACTAGAAGAAAAGAATCTGCCTAGAGAGGGACTCAAACCTGCAACTGCCGCTTACTGTGCAGATGCATTGACTGTTATGCTACCCAGATCTCTGGTCAAATCTCGACTTTCAGTATATATAACATTATGCTATAACCAGTATATATAACATTACTCCCTCTAGGGTCAAATTGTTTGATAATATATTATTGATATAGCCGTTATATAGCCCAATGGCATATGGCAGTGGTTTGCTTTATACAATGTTATATTTTATTATTAATGTAGTTGTATTACCAATAAATATACAGTGGTACCTCTGTATATGTCTGCTTTAGAATACGTCCAATTCAGAATACATCCTGTTTGGACGAAACAAATTTTGCTCGGTATACGACTTAATTCAATTATAAGCGCCATCTATGAACAAGTAGCACTATGCATGTACTAGACCAGACTAGATGTTCGCAGTGCCATGGTTTATAACTTTGTTAAATTTCTTCTGATTTTAATTTGTAACTAAAATTTTCTTATTTTTATTAATCATGAATTGCAAAAAGGCAAGTGAACAGCAACAGAAAGCTAAAAAAATGACAGAATCACAATGGAACTGAAAAAAGAGATTGCTGAGGAATACGAAGATGGCATGCGTGTTCGAGATTTAACTCTTGCATACCGTATTCCGAGAACAACGATATTGACAATCGCGAAAAATAAACACATTATTAAATCTGCTAACGTTGTGAAAGAGGTTAAATCAATTTCTAAACAGAGATCGAAGACATCAGATCATGTTGAGAAATTGCTTTTGCTTTAGATAACTGAAAAACAGTGTGAAGGAGACAGCGTATCAGAAGCAATTATTTGCGAGAAAGCTAAAAAGATATATGCTGCTATCATGAAAAATCAAGCAGGAACTAGCCAGGAAGGTGAGGTGTTTAAAGCCAGCCAATTTTTTTTTCATGAGAACGGATTAATCATTTTTACATTACTTCTTATGGGAAAGGTTGGTTTGGTATACGTCCTATTCGCTTTAAGTCCAAACATTAGGAACAGATTAAAGTCATATACCAAGGTTCCGCTGTATTTTAGTTTTGATATTAATTAATTTTCATTGTAAATTAGAAGTGATAAGATCAATTTTCATTTAAAATTTTGAAATTATTGAAATATGGGAAAGTAAAGATTTGGTTATTGGCATAGGTTATATTTAAGTCATTATAACTAAGGTGAAATATATTTTAATGTTTAAAAACAGGTCTTTGTAATAGTAAAATTTGTAATGTAATTATATTTTGTTAATTATAAGGACTTTATCAAAACTTTTTCAGTTTGTTCGATAGCTACAAACAAAATTAGTGGTTATTTTATCTTGTGATTAGTTCAATTTACATATGGTAGATTTCTGGAAACTCGACTCTCGATGACTATATTCCGTAAAACTGTTTATGTTCTTCAAAAAATAAATAAATACATGTAATCTAATATCTATGTATGTTTTTAACATCAAGATCAAATAAGTTATCATTATTCACTGGCAATAATAGCATCAACTCTACATGTTAACAAAGAATATAACCCAGTTTCCAAAGTGCCACTGCAAAACATCATGACATGAATGTCACTAGCTCAAAAGTAGCCACCAAATAGCCAATAATTTTTTAAAATTAAAATTTAATCATAAAAAGGAATATCGATACATACTATTGATTAGTTAATATGTATATAAATTTACACCTATAATACCTTCATGAAAATTCTGCTATTTAGACTATCATCATCACTACATCTTGAAACTTGTTACCTTCTCACTTCACATTAAGTTGCATTTGTGGAACTCTACTGTATCGATAAGCATTATGATTTCATAACATACTTCTAAATGTATTTGTATAATAAATAAATACTTTACAGATTTTTGTAACAATGTTACTTGAAAAAGAACACATTCTATTTTTAAAAGTGAAAATCATGATTTGTAGTTAATGGAATTTAAGTCATGTTGTGATGATTTCTTTATTTCATTTTTATAAAATCTTCACCTCTATGATGATTATCATCAAGTTTTTGAGATGATTATATATTACACAGAATAGTTAAATAATATATTCTAATTTTAATAGTGGTTTTATAGTGATAATAATAAATTATATAATGGAAATTATGCCAAAAGTCTATGGAAAAACAAACAAATCTAATGATCTTAGTATATCAAAAGAATTATTTCTGCTAGAAAAAATAAAATACTTCAAAGTTTTTGTCAGCTGTGGAAAGCTAACAAAAAATCAACATTGTTTGTATCTTATTTTTTTCAAAATTGAGAAATCCCTCAATGTCTGCACTTTTGGGAAATATGAACATGTAATTTTATTATAATTTGAAATTGAAGAATATACAACGTTATATATTACAAAACAATTTGACCCTAGAGAGGCGTTAGGTGCCATCTCGTAATAAATCTAATAATTATAATTTTTAATTAAACAATTTAGATTAAACTAGAAGAAAAGAATCTGCCTGGAGAGGGACTCAAACCTGCAACTGCCACTTACTGTGCAGATGCATTGACTGTTATGCTACCCAGATCTCTGGTCCAATCTCGACTTTCAGTATATATAACATTATGCTATAACCAGTATATATAACATTACTCCCTCTAGGGTCAAATTGTTTGATAATATATTATTGATATAGCCGTTATATAGCCCAATGGCATATGGCAGTGGTTTGCTTTATACAATGTTATATTTTATTATTAATGTAGTTGTATCACCAATAAATATACAGTGGTACCTCTGTATATGTCTGCTTTAGAATACGTCCTGTTTGGACGAAACAAATTTTGCTCGGTATACGACTTAATTCAATTATAAGCGCCATCTATGAACAAGTAGCACTATGCATGTACTAGACCAGACTAGATGTTCGCAGTGCCATGGTTTATAACTTTGTTAAATTTCTTCTGATTTTAATTTGTAACTAAAATTTTCTTATTTTTATTAATCATGAATTGCAAAAAGGCAAGTGAACAGCAACAGAAAGCTAAAAAAATGACAGAATCACAATGGAACTGAAAAAAGAGATTGCTGAGGAATACGAAGATGGCATGCGTGTTCGAGATTTAACTCTTGCATACCGTATTCCGAGAACAACAATATTGACAATCGCGAAAAATAAACACATTATTAAATCTGCTAACGTTGTGAAAGAGGTTAAATCAATTTCTAAACAGAGATCGAAGACATCAGATCATGTTGAGAAATTGCTTTTGCTTTAGATAACTGAAAAACAGTGTGAAGGAGACAGCGTATCAGAAGCAATTATTTGCGAGAAAGCTAAAAAGATATATGCTGCTATCATGAAAAATCAAGCAGGAACTAGCCAGGAAGGTGAGGTGTTTAAAGCCAGCCAATTTTTTTTCATGAGAACGGATTAATCATTTTTACATTACTTCTTATGGGAAAGGTTGGTTTGGTATACGTCCTATTCGCTTTAAGTCCAAACATTAGGAACAGATTAAAGTCATATACCAAAGTTCCGCTGTATTTTAGTTTTGATATTAATTAATTTTCATTGTAAATTAGAAGTGATAAGATCAATTTTCATTTAAAATTTTGAAATTATTGAAATATGGGAAAGTAAAGATTTGGTTATTGGCATAGGTTATATTTAAGTCATTATAACTAAGGTGAAATATATTTTAATGTTTAAAAACAGGTCTTTGTAATAGTAAAATTTGTAATGTAATTATATTTTGTTAATTATAAGGACTTTATCAAAACTTTTTCAGTTTGTTCGATAGCTACAAACAAAATTAGTGGTTATTTTATCTTGTGATTAGTTCAATTTACATATGGTAGATTTCTGGAAACTCGACTCTCGATGACTATATTCCGTAAAACTGTTTATGTTCTTCAAAAAATAAATAAATACATGTAATCTAATATCTATGTATGTTTTTAACATCAAGATCAAATAAGTTATCATTATTCACTGGCAATAATAGCATCAACTCTACATGTTAACAAAGAATATAACCCAGTTTCCAAAGTGCCACTGCAAAACATCATGACATGAATGTCACTAGCTCAAAAGTAGCCACTAAATAGCCAATAATTTTTTAAAATTAAAATTTAATCATAAAAAGGAATATTGATACATACTATTGATTAGTTAATATGTATATAAATTTACACCTATAATACCTTCATGAAAATTCTGCTATTTAGACTATCATCATCACTACATCTTGAAACTTGTTACCTTCTCACTTCACATTAAGTTGCATTTGTGGAACTCTACTGTATCGATAAGCATTATGATTTCATAAC